CTTTAACCCTTCTCAGTTTAATTTAAGTGTTACCAGTCTGTCTCTAAACAGTCTCAGTTTAGTTTAGGTGTCTCCAGTCTGTCTCTAAATAGTCTCAGTTTTATTTAGGTGTCTCCAATCTGTCTCTAAACAGTCTCAGTTTAGTTTAGGTGTCTCCAGTCTGTCTCTAAATAGTCTCAGTTTTGTTTAGGTGTCTCCAATCTGTCTCTAAACAGTCTCAGTTTAGTTTAGGTGTCTCCAGTCTGTCTCTAAACAGTCTCAGTTTAATTTGGGTGTCTCCAATTTGTCTCTAAATAGTCTAAGTTTAGTTTAGATCTCTCCAATCTGTCTCTAAACAGTCTCAGTTTAATTTGGGTGTCTCCAATCTGTCTCTAAATAGTCTCAGTTTAGTTTAGGTGTCTCCATTCTGTCTCCAAACAGTCTCATTTTAGTTTAGGTGTCTCCAGTCTGTCTCTAAACAGTCTCAGTTTAGTTTAGGTGTCTCCAATCTGTCTCTAAACAGTCTCATTTTAATTTGGGTGTCTCCAATCTGTCTCTAAACAGTCTCAATTTAGTTTAGGTGTATCCAATCTGTCTCTAAACAGTCTCAGTTTAGGTGTCTCCAATCTGTCTCTAAACAGTCTGTTTAATTTAGGTGTCTCCAATCTGTCTCTAAACAGTCTCAGTTTAGTTTAAGTGTCTCCAATCTGTCTCTAAACAGTCTCAGTTTAATTTGGGCATCTCCAATATGTCTCTAAACAGCCTCAGTTTAGTTTAGGTGTCTCCAATCTGTCTCTTAACAGTCTCAGTTTAGTTTAGGTGTCTCCAGTCTGTCTCTACACAGTCTCAGTTTAGTTTAGGTGTCTCCAGTCTGTCTCTAAACAGTCTCAGTTTAATTTCAGTATGTCCAATATGTCTCTAAACAGTCTCAGTTTAGTTTAGGTGTCTCAGATCMGTCTCTAAACAGTCTCAGTTTAATTTGGGTGTCTCCAATATGTCTCTAAACAGTCTCAGTTTAGTTTAGGTGTCTCCAATTTGTCTCTAAACAGTCTCAGTTTAATTTAGGTGTCTCCAATCTGTCTCTAAACAGTCTCGGTTTAATTAAGTTGCCTCCAATATGTCTGTAAACAGTCTCAGTTTAATTTGGGTGTCTCCAATCTGTCTCTAAACAGTCTCAGTTTATTTTGGGGGTCTCCAATCTGTCTCTAAACAGTTTCAGTTATTTTGGTGGTCTACAACAGCCTCATTTAGTTTAGGGGTCTCCAACTTGTCTCCGTTTCATTGCAGGGGTCTTTAACATGTCTCACTTTAGTTGTGGGATCTCAAAGCTTTAGATCAGCTTTTTGACTTGTTTGCTCTCCTCTGGCAGAAAATCTCCAGGTCTAAAAACCAAACCAACATTAATAATAGTTACAAAAAGAAAAAAAAACTGGTTCAAAATCTCATTTTAAAATCGAATTACTGTAGATTAAATGATAAATGTTAGGGATGGCTGCCGAGGCGGGAACAATGTGAGAGGTAACTTAATGTGCACAGCCTTCCATATGGGTTTGCAAGCCGTGCACACAGAAACAGGCCTGTTGGTCACAAAGACTTAAATTTATAACAAGATTTTAGTCTCTGATTCTATTTTTTGCAAACAACCAGCATATTGTTTGTGCTCCTTTCATTCTGCTCTTTTACCTCCAGCCACCGGAGGGCGCTGTCACGGCAAAATCCTCCTGAAGTTTTTCTTGTTTAGATGGCTTTGAGTTTAGATTTTCTGGGTGGATGTTTCTGATCAGTGTTGTTTTGCCATAAAACAGAAATTCTTACAAACACTTCATTGCCTCACATCGAGTTTATGTTTAATTATTAAAAATCTTCTTGTACTTGTTTAACACGTAAATATTATCGGAAACTTCTACCTGGATTTAAAATGCATGTCTTAACTCCACCCCCAACCTGCACTGCTATCTATTTCCTCTTAAATTAAGTCGAAAACCTTTTCTGTGAATTTGCAACTGGAAAGCTGACTGCACCACTGACTGGTCAGTGTTGGTATTGCACCATGATGTTAGCATTGCTCAGTTTAAGATCACCTGGACTCCCAGGTGTGACCGTACCTCTGCGTGTTGATGTTCAGTCACTCTCTTGGCATTCACCGCGTGCCTTAATTGTATGGACATTTAAATCAAGGTCCGCTGTGAACACGAAGAGAGAAAACCCAAATCCTCCGGCATTTTGTCGACCTCTCTGACTTTTTCCATTTACATCGCTTGCTGCTTCACACATTATTGTCCAAAATAGTAAATTATTTTTTACTTTGATTCATTTTGACCAACAACCCTGTTAGGAACTGTCCTCTATGGACAGCCGTTTATTCAAAATACAATAAATAAATAAATATTATAAAGACATGCTAAAAACACGTAGTAAAATATATTAATTTTGTTTTATTTCATGGGGACATTTAGGTATTTGATGGAATATGTATTAATACTTTATTAATTAATTTATTTATTTATTTATTTATTTATTTATTTATTTATTTATTTATTTATTTATTTATTTATTTATTTATTTATTTATTTATTTTGAATAAAGTGGCTCTCCATAGTTCTCATCTTAGAAGCTGCAAATAATTTTATTAATATTTAAACGCATTTAAACATCTGCTACCATTTTATAAAAATGCATTAAATCTGGATGGGTTAAAAATAGGGTCTATATACATATAAACATTATTTCATTCATATGAGACCACATTGTGGCAACATGCTGCTTATTTTGCATTCATTCAGACAGTTTTTACTTTTTGCACCTAATGATCTGTGGAACAAACACTTCTTACGACCAGACATTGATGCTCAGCTTTTATTTTTAGATGTTGCTTTTTTTAGATTTTATCTCCTGCTCCTCTGAAGCGCTTTGTCTCCTCCTGCAGTCCACAAACAGATAAGCAGCTCGAAACCACTGTAATGATCCATGTATTGATTTAAACCTGTGTGCGCGCGCGTGCGTGCGTGCGCGTATGTGTGTGTGAGAGACAACTATGATAAACTGTTTGGGGGCTCGTCCGGGATGTGCTGACCTCCAAACAGTCTGTCACTGCTGCAGGTAATCTACTGGATGTGAACTCCTTTAAACCTTTTATTCCCCAGTGTATTAAAGAAGAAAACCTGCAGATATCTTTGTTTTGCCGCAAATTTACAATTAAAACAAACAGCTAGAGATTCCTAAATGACCAAACTTTAAATAAAAAAAGGTCAAATCTTTTATTTGATGTTTGTTTGAAGGAGAGATTTGGCTCCTTTGTGCACAGATATGACGCTCACTGGGATTGATTTCTTGTCTGCAGCAGGTGTAAAAAAAAATCACTGCAAATTGATTTTAATACCTCAGAGGAGTAGAAACCAATAACGGCTTACTGGCAGAGCGGGGAAAAAAATGTGTTTAATGTGGATTAAAAGTCACCAGTGAGGTCCTTTGAGCAGCACTGCAGCAGCAGAGCTCCATCCTCCATTAATCCTGCAGTTTGGCTCTTATATACAGTGAGTGCTGCATCACAGCTGCAGGGGAGGAAGCTGCAGCTGCAACACTGTACCCCTCAGGAGGAGATCCTAACAGGAAATAAAGGAAGAAAGGGAGGAAAAAAATCCTGCAGAAAACTGCTGCATCCAACCGCAGCCTCATTAAAAGCAGAAATGCTAATGACCCAGATAGCTCATAGCTAAAAATGTAAAGGAGGGGGAGGGGGGTGGTCTCCTTTGTGGGGGTCGGGCGTGAAGGTTGGATCAGATATTCAACATTTTCTTTGCAAATACTCGAGCAGAAACGAAATAATCTAAATTAACACCAAGCAGTTATTAAAATAACCCATCTAATTACATTTTAACTCATTCTTATTGAAGCTTTACGTCACATGAAGGCAAATATTACAGTTTTAAAAAGATCTGAGCAGATCAGGGCTGAGAGAAGGACAGGATGAGGAGTTGCGCAGAGGCACACTGCGGATCCTGGCGGAGCGTTTGCGCACAACAAAAAAATTTAAGAGAAAATGTTTTATATATTTTAAATGAGCACAAATGAGATTAAAAGAACAATACCTTCCGGCTGCAGGCAGGAGGAATAAAAAGGTGCGGATTTGTTTTGGTTTCTGTTCAGAATCGGAGGTTTTGACGCGCGGKAAAACGAGCCCCGCGGACCCGCAGATGGCACCGCCGCGAGAGGCTCGGTGCGGCCGGAGATGAGAGGCTCTGAGCCGGCTTGGTGTGTGTCCTTTCCCCCCGCAGGGATGCTGAGGATGCGGAGGGATGATGCAGGGAGGAGGAGGAGGAGGAAGATGAAGAGGAGGGGAGGAAGGAGGATGCTGAGGTCGGACCGTCCCTTCTTCTTCTGCAGATGATCTGGATCAAGTGTTCCACATCCGGAGGATCTCATTAGTCCGAGACAAAAAAAATAAAAATATAAAAAGCCATAAAAAGAATCAGAACCGGACATGATGTGGAGCCTGGACGGATCAGGTTCTGGGTGCTCTGGGTGCAGAGCGCGGAGCTGAGCGGATGGAGGGAAGAGGAGTCGGGCGCAGTCAGATGGAGAGAAGAGGGGAGGGGAGGGGTGGTCCTCTGACAGAGAGGGGAGGGGGGCATCACATCCTTACCCCTCCTTTCTGTGTGTGTGTGTGTGTGT